GCTAAGGTATCTCGTGATTGAATACTAGATTGTCGAATAGTATTCCTCTTTGTATTTTGTCCCACTGCTAGGAACTTCTTTGATCACTCTGCTATTCCTTTGTTCTCATTTCTTGAATATATTTTTTCTCCGTGTCTTTGTTTGTTTTTTTTGTCAATTGTAAGTTATCATACTCTGAATTGAAAAACAAAGAGAAAATAAACTCATCCATTAATTAAATCAGAGAAAGTAAAGGGGAGAGCATTCATCAAAACAAATAATACTCTTGATCGATTGAGAGTACAAAAGGGAAATAAACTAGAAGTTAAACTAAGACAATTTTGAAACACCTGAATCAGATATTATGCATATAGTTGTGAATTTGCTCCATAATCTCCACAAAAGCCTCGTTTTTCCTAGCCTAGGTTGTTATCATTTGGTCTCTCATGTAGGCAAATGTTTGATCTTGCTCTCTGAAATATGTTTCCTTTTGCTCCTATTTTTTCCATGTTCTCATCTTTTCTTTTAATTTTTTTTCTAAGTCTTTCATACTTCTTCACCCTTCTACACGCTGCAAAATAATAAAACATATTAAAATTAAATAACATGAAATTAATATGCAAATGAAATAAAAAATTTATCTGATTGGTTGCCAGATTATTGCTCGTCTAAGGTTTCATGAGTATGAGAGACGCCTTTGCACAAGGTATTTCACTGCTAGCATATGGTTTGAATCTATGGTTATTCACTATAAACGTGCATGAATTTCTAGGATCTTGTATCTCTACAATACCACTAGCAAATACTTTAGTAATAATATACAGATCAAACCACTTTGATTTCAACTTACCTGAAAACAACTTCAACCTAGAGTTATAGAGTATAACATTTTATCCTTGTTGAAAGTATCATTTCACCAAGTTTTTATCATGATACCTCTTAGTTATATCCTTGTAAATTACAATGTTTTCATAGGCTTAAAGTCTCATCTCTTCCAACATATTCAGTTTCAGTAATCTCTTTCTCCCCGCTGCTTTCTCATCAAAATTTAAAAACATTATTGCCTAATAAGCTTTATGTTCAAGTTCAATTGGTAAGTGACAAACTTTTTCATAAACCAATTCATATGCAATAATCCTATGTTAGTCTTGAAAGTTGTTTTATACACCCAAAAGTGTCATCTAACTTTTTAAACCTATCTTTTATGGATGAAGCAACTAACTTTTCAAGAATTTGTTTCATCGGCCTATTAGATGCTTATACTTGGCCACAAGTTTGAGGATGATAAGGTGTTGAGACTTTGTGTTTTACATTATACATTGCAAGGACACTCCCAAAGATTTGTTGTAGAAGTGTGTTCCCCCATCACTGGTCAAGATTCTAGAGACTTTGAAGCTAACAAAAACATTTTTTATAGTTAGAAATCATGTGGACATGATTAGCAGTACAAACCATTGCTTTAACCCATTTGGTGACATAATACATGCATACAAGAATGTAAAGATGAGAGTTTGATGCTGGCAATGAACCCATGAAACAAACTCCCCTACAATCAAAAGGTTCTACCTCTAGCATACCATTTAGGGGCATTTCATCCTTTTTTGAGATGTTACCTATTTTTCAACATTCGGGACATTCTTTGACGTACGACTTTCGGTCTTTAAATAGAGTTGGCAAAAAAAACACTTTGGAGTACCTTAGTCGCAGTTCTTTCCCAACTGTGGTGGACTCCATATGTTAAGCTATGACAAAATTCCACATAATGCTTCTTACCTCTTCCCCTGTACACCTGCGAATCAAACTATCGGGACTAACTTTAAACAGATATGGCTCATCCCAATTATAGTGATTAGCCTCTTTGTAAAATTGTTTCTTTTGTTTTCAAGTGTAATCCTTAAGAACATTGTTCGTATCTTTCTGGTTGTTTATATCAGCAAACCAAGGTCTTTCGTTGATTTTCATTAAGTTCTCATCGTAAAATTCTTTAGTAATGTTCTTTTCCTTCTTATTTACTTCATTATTTTCTAACCTAGATAAGTGATCAGCTACTACATTTTCCACGCCTATTTATCTTTGATTTCCAAGTCGAACTCTTGCAACAATAATATTCATCTGAGTAATCTTGGCTTAGAGTCTCCTATATTGAAAAGATACTTTAATGTTGCATGATCTGGGAAAATATCAACTTTTGAACCAATTAGATAATGCCTAAAAAATTTCCAATGCAAACCACAACTAGTAATTCTTTTTCGTTGGTGGTGTAATTCACCTAAATTTCATTTAAAACTTTATTAACGTAATAAATTGCATGGAAAAATTTCTCATGGCGTTCACCAAGAACTGCTCCTATCGTGTAATCAGTCGCATCACACATAAGTTCAAAGAACAATTCCTAATTTGGAACGACAATTACGGATGCAGTAACTAACTTGTCTTTAATAGTAGAAAAATATTTCAAACATTCAACATCAAAATCAAAATCAATTTCTTTTACTAGGAGGTTTCGAAGAGGTTTCTCAATCTTTGAATAGTTTTTATGAACCCTCAGTAGAAACCGACATTTCCTAGAAAAACTTCTCACTTCTTTCCATTAATAGGAGGGGTAATTTTTTAATGATAACTATTTTAGCTTGATCTACCTCAATACCTTTTGATGATATTTTGTGTTCTAAAATAATACCTTTGATTACTATAAAGTGGAATTTTTCCAATTTAGAATTAGGTTCGTTTCATTACATCTTTTCAAAACAGCATTAATGTGATCAAGACATTTATCAAAATTGCTATCAAATACGAAAAAATCATTCATAAATACCTCAATGGATTTTTCAATCATCTTAGAAAAGATGGAAAGCACGCACCTTTGAAAAGTTTCTAATGTGTTGCATAATTCGAATGACATCTTGCGATAGGCGAACACTCTAAAATGGAAAGTAAAAGTATTATTCTCTTGATTAGCAGAATCTACAACAATTTCATTGTATCCCCAATAGCCATCTAAAAAGAAATAATAAGCTTGACCTGTTAGTCATTCTAATATATGATCCATGAAATATAATGGAAAATGATCATTTCAAGTAGTTTGATTTAGCCTCTAATAGTCAATACACATATGTCATCTGGTAACTGTTCAATTAAAATCAACTCATTTTTTCATTTCAGATGACGGTCATACCTCCTTACTTTGGAACTACATGCACTGGATTTACCCAAGAACCATTAGAGATAGGATAGATCATACCTACTTTAAGTAGTGTCAACACTTCTCTTCTCACCACTTCTTTCATGGTAGGATTTAGTCTTCTTTGATGTTGAACTACCGGCTTGAATTCTTTTTCAAGTTTAATCTTATGCATCCAATAGACTGGACTTATCCCTTTTAAATCAGTAACACTCCAACCAAGTGTCTTCTTATTACCTTTTAGGACTCTTGACAGATTTTCTTCCCCCAAAATAGACAAAGAACTACTTATGATGGTTCATTGTAAAGGTTGTTCACCCAATAATACATATTTCAAGTGTTTCAACAACTCCTTCAATTTTTGGGATCTTTATTGAACTCTTTTTCTCACTACCACCTGATTTTTCTATCTTTCTCATAGCTTTCTCAACCCGTGCAACTTACAACTAAAGTAAACATTCGACTACCTCCATGTCAGATTCATCTTCAACTACTTTGATCGCATTCAAAATGACTCGGTCCAATGGTGGTGATGTTGATTTTGTTTGTTGCTACTTCTTACACAATCTCTTTGACTATGTCAATTATATAGCATTGAGGATTCCCGTTTTGACGTTTGATTGCTTCAAACACAATAAAGACAATATTATTTTGTTAAATCTTAAAACTAACTCTTCCATTTCTACATCAATTAAAGCTCTTGCATGTTGCTATGAACGGTCTTCTAAAGAGTAATTGTGTTTTCAGAGTCTTTTAGAATATCAAGAATCACAAAATCTATTGGGAATAATAAATTATCTACTCTCACAAGTACATTTTCGAGAACTCCATACGAATAAGTTGTCTTTGGTTCTCCATAGTTCAACTTTCTCATTATAGACAACATCAGATTGATGTTTGCTCATAAATCACGCAATGTCTAACCAATTGTTAGTGAATTAATAGAACATAGAATAGTAAATCTGTCTTCAGTGACTTTAGGTGGAAGTTTGCGTTATATTATAGCGTTGCATTCTTCCGCCTAAGAAATATTCTCAACATACTTCAATTTACACTTTCTAGACAAGAACTCCTTCATAAACTTTGTTTAAATTGGCATCCGCTCGAGAGTTTTACAGGATGGAATGTTAACTTGTATTTTTGTAAACATCTCCTAACTTTTTGAATTGCAACTTCCATTTCCTTCTTTAATGTCTTTTTCAAGATTGAATAGGGTGATTTGACATAATAAGGTAGTTATGAGTTAGATTCATTTAGAATATATTTCTTGGTCCTTAAATGTGGATTTTAATCTATGAGTTTGTCAAAGATATCCTCCTAATTGAATATTAGCTCATTTTCTCACTTTCTCCCTGTTTATTTTTTTCAACCACTTCTTCAACTTCTGCCTTTTCTTCAATATTTTTCTCACCCTCACTTCTTTTCTCTCACCATTAGCCTTAGGGTCCAATTTTACCACTAAATTTTTCAACTTAATGGCTTTGCTACTCTCATTTTTCAGGTTGTCTACCGTATTTCCAACCCAAACCCACCGTAGAACTCACCAATAAAACATGGAGTAAGTTGGATTTAAGAACTTATTCTTATTAATGATTACATATGGTACATCCAGTATTATCAAAATTGTCATTTCTATTTTTTAAATGTTTCTCATGATTTTTTTCTATAAAAGTAAATGCAGTATTATCAAACGCTAAGCTGTTATACTCTCTGAATAGAAATTCCTGTTCGTGAAACATATACATAATACATGTTTATATTCTATCTATTACATACACCACCACAACGTTACAGGTTACATATACACAAATTTTAACAGAGGTCTGTAACTCGCACTTGTTTAAGCACCTTTCTGCGGGAGAGTTTCAAACGCAGAAACTGTGTTTTCAAATCTTATACGATGTAATGGAGCACCACTTTGCTTAATAGCACATGCTGTCTTTTCTTCAAGGGGGCATCGAGCTTTAAGCATAGAGAATACATGGTTATTTAATCGTCTTGCTTTTTTCATTGCTTCTAATATGGCTTCCCATCCCTGTTAAAAGAAAAGTAAATGCAATCAATAACAGCATAAGTGATACTTAATCATAGAATTCTAGAGATGATAAAAAATGAAACATCGGTATGATGCGTGTTTGGCAAAGTATAAACAACATTGCGATTATGTAAAGCAAAGAAAGATTCTTTGGCTTGATCTGGAGAAGCAGTGTAAACCTGAACAGCAAAGTGGGAGTTCTTGTGTGTTTGCACAACAGATGCAGCTTCCACTTCTGCGATATTGAGGATCTGATACGAGAAGTCAAAGAGCTCAAAATGCAGTTGTTGCCCAAGCAAATAAATTATGGTGCAGCCTCCCCAAGCGACTGAATCCCCCAGCCTTTCAGGACTACTTGATGGTACTTGGACAGACTCTTCCAAATATCCCTATGTAGCTCAAGCAAAAGCACGTGTCAAGAAAATTAAGAAAGAAAAGAAAGAAAAGGACACTAGCAAATTCATTAATGAATGGACCAAATCTTACAAAGTGGTTCAGGTTAATTTTTGGTTTACACATGAAGCCAAATAGAGAAGGTTGTTACTTACAATTTGAAGACCACTATATATTCGGTAGAAATCTTTTGAAATTGCAATGTCAATGAAGCCTGTCTTGGGCGCAGCACTCCATTTACTACAATATTTATCTAATGCGGCACTTGTGAAAGCAAGCGCATACTCCAGAACACTTCCAGTATTCAAGTTAGCTTTATATAAAAGATCTGTAGTGAAAGAGACAATGTCTGAAAACATAACACAGATCTCTAGTAGTTACAAATAAAATGGGGGAACGGATCTAAATAAATCACAAACCCAGTACAAAAAAAAATTGATGGACCATGAATGATGCAAACAAAAATGAAAACAAACTTTTCAAAGAAATAAGTATATTTAGCATGATAATTCTAACATTTCTCATCAGAATCATCAATCAGCTTCCTCAGTGGCTAATAATTTTTTATTTCGTTTGAGAAAATAACATAAAAGAAAGTGAACATTGAAGCTGTAGTGTTGTACTCATAATGTAGACAACAAATTGTATCACTGTCTAGACAGGAAATTAGAAGACAAAAATTCTTGTTAGTAACTTTGTTTTACAAGTTTGACAGGTCAATTATAAATTGAGAGGAAAGAAGAAACAAAGACCTGGAAAACATGTTAAAGTCAAACGGACCTGCTTTGTCTAAAACATATAGTCATTTTTATGATGGGTAGGGAGGGTACTGCCAGAGCAACCAAGAAATTATGGCAATTCATTTTTTGAGCGTATAGCTGATAGCCCCGTTTTGACAAAAACTGGCTCCACTTTCAAAGCAGCTATGTCTAACGCACAATGCTAATATTCTACTAATTTCAGTTATAAAATTTTTCCTTACATTTATTTCAATTCCTCCATGACTCTACCATTTTGAAATACCAGAACGCCATTAATTTCGTATTGTTAGAATATAAGATTGTTCTCAACTATATTTTAACATCAAAGATCTGCCCCTTTATTTTTCCAGTAAACAAGCCAAACTAACAAAGGAAATTAGAACACATAAAATATCACACCTGCAGCTTCTGCTTGTTTTGACATGATGTGGAAAGAATTAGGAGATGGGCAACCAGGATATGAAACCATTGCAGCAGCCGTAGATTTAAAGAGACTGACAATAGGGCTAACCCCACCATCTTGAGAAGGTAATATTTGTCCATCTGGTCCCGGAAGCAAGCCCAGCCAGGGAGCAGTTTGCATGAAATTTGTTGTATCTGTTTCTCTCTGTCAATAATGCAACATTTGCTAACTATTACTCACAAACTAAAGTAATGTACAGGAAAATGTTGATAAACTACAGTTAAGCGAAGGGAGGCTATCCTCCCCCTTTCTTAAGTAACAAAATCACCATTGTGTGAAATTTATTTTTCCATATTCAATATCCTTGTAAAATTCACTTTAGGAGTTTGATGATAATTAGTTATCATTTGTTGACTGACATTAGATCTCCTTTAGCTACAATTCATTGATAGAAGATTGTAAATCAAGGTTTTCATGTCCAAGTCTTCCTACATCTAAAGTATTAGAATGCAGGCTTGTATTTGTACATTATGTGTAAATAAAGAATCATCCCAATTGAAATAAAAAATATTGGCCTGATCAAAATATTGGGACAGGAATAGAGTGGTACAACCAGGCCCAAGAATACTTCACTTCCTCTCACTCACATTTCTGCTTGCAAAGCACTTCTAGCACTACTAAAATAACTTTCCACTGACCATTTCTTTGAAGTTTCTGACTAAATAAGGATGATTCAACTGCAAACATAAAGGTTTCCTTTTCAATAATATCAAGTACCAAACTTTTCTAGGGTTTCAAGTTACAACATGTCTGATTTTGTGAGTCAGATGTTCATAAAGATTCTTTATTATAGGTTCTCCTTTGTATTTTATATCCTATATAAAACAACTAAACCTTTATTCTCACTAGGAGGAGCCAGCTTTGACCAAATACCTTCGGTGTTTTGTCATAAATCGTATCTAATAATAGACCACTTTACCAATATGTTATAAGTGGCTAAGTTTAATGTTTAAAATTCGTTTAGTTTGTTTTGACCAGTGAGATTTCGTTTTAGGCTTAGTTTATTTCAAAAAAAAAAAAACATCAAATTATTTTGATAAAAGCACTAGATTACCCACCAACACAATATCTAGAAGCCCCATCCAGTATAATACACTTCCAATCTCTTTTATACCATGAAGAACCTCAACTTTCAGCTCTGCTTTTGCCTCCCAGTTAAGATGTTCTTTAACAAGTCTTACACAACCTGTGTAGAAATAATCAAATAATTAATTTCTTGGATTTGACCATGCATCTATGTGCCTGATTCATTAGTACTTATAATTTGTCCGAAAAAGACTATTTGTAATGACCGTGAAATATAGGCACCATAATAAATTTCCAGCAAAATGTCACAATACTTAGCAGGCGACAACGAAGACTTTATCCCATTAGGTGGTTTCAGTGCTGAGATATTGAAGTGTCCCCCATATATGACACTAGCAATATTTATGAAAACAGGACGAGGTAAAACATGCTACTAATGATTAGTACTAATCCGTCTCATATTCACTTTCATCTAAGATTATACACACATCTTAAGAAAATGATTACAAGTACTAGTTTCCATTGAAAAATAATGTGCTAGAAAGTATCCTTGTAATCTTATTTATAATCAAGTTACCCTACATTTGTAAGCATTTAACATATGTAAATTACAGAATAAAGGTTAAAATATGGTGAAAAGAAAAACGTCATGTACCTGTCACACCTCCATCAAAAGGAAGAAGACCGATTGATTTTGGCATGGATTCTTGTAATCCTGTTATCATTGGTTCAAGCAAAGTAATCTGGAATAACATGCCTTACATTGTTAGAAAGCACAGCTAAATTTATATTATAAAATCAATAATTATAGACACGCGGAAACTAGTATGGCTATCATTCTCTAAATGAAAATTAGTTGCCCAATATTGTTAAGGTAGAACTTTTAATGAACATCATTGTGGAATCTATTCATTAGAGAAAATATGTATATAGCGTATCCTCACTCTTTTCACATATTCTTAGCATATGTGCAAATTGACCAACATTACTTCGCAGTATGGTTAAACTTTTCACATTCATCCATATCCTAAAAAGTTTTGGCACTTAATCATTATTCAATAAGAACTCACCACAATCTTATTGCTTCTGATTTATTTTCATATGTTTATATTCATAAGTTTTCCTAAGTTCAAACAACTTCCCACTGAGATATCTGTTAATCTACTTGCAATTATTAACGCTCCAAATGTCTAGTCTCAAGTGTGAGGAGGGTGTTAAGATCTTTATTACTCCACCTACATAAGTTCATGCTTAAGATATCCAACCCTGGTTGTGATGGAAAAAGTTGACAGTTCCACATCAATGAAAGATATGACCTGGGTAGTGCTTATAAGGTTTGGGCATTCTTTATCTTTTAAGTTGATTTTGGGAGTACAAGTTAGGCTGAAGCCCAAATTCAAATAATATTGATATCGACAGAAAGAATATGTTGGATGCTACTCCCTCCGTCCCCACAATAAGTGATCCAGTGGACAATTTCACACATTAAAAAATGTGTAAAAATGAAAGAGAGAATGATCTTTTTACCAAAGTACCCATTATCAAGTATTGAGAGTGATAAAAATAGTAATGATTAAAGGGTAGAATTGGGAGAAAAAAAAGTAATTAATTTGCATTGTAAATTGAAATGGGTCATTTATTTTTGACAAATGGATCACTCATTGTAGGACGGAGAGAGTACTAAAGAAGATAATACACCAATCCTTAAACAAAGAAATAAATCCTTATATATAAAGAAATGAGGAAAACAATATTGATATTATCTACATTATTCTAAAATAAAATCAAGATATATCACATATTTTAAAATGTTAAAATATTTAGTAAGTTTTCAAAGAAAAGCAAATGCCGTGTCATGAACTTATTAGCAATTTAAGATAAATAAAAGCATACCTTGTTTGATATATGGTCAAGAAGGGCTCTAATAAGCCAAGGTAATGATCGGGATCCCAAAAGTCGAACAATAGAAAACATATGAGGTATTCCAAAGAATCCGCTATGCAGTCGAGCAAAACTTTGATGAGCCGAATTTAAATCCTATTATTACATATAGTAAGCTAATGAGATTTGAGAAATTTGTATTTACAAAAAAAAAAAAGGAACGCATACACACAAAATAACTATGCATCTCTCCCAAATCTCTCACTACACATTTCCTCACCAGGTGAAAAAAACAGAACCACATGTATTAAAGACAAAAAGTATAGTTAAATTAAAAAGAATAGGGTAAAAGTTGAAACTGTCTTCAACTCTGCACAGCAACCATTGCCACCCTGAGAATGCACACGACATGACCATGCTAGCAGTGGCTAGATAGATTCACTATAAATAGCTTCAGTCAGTCAAAACTTGAGACTTTAGGATGGAGATTCAATCTATCTATCTCTTCCCTACACCACTAGACTTTGGGGAGCTTCAATCTTGAAATCACAAGATTCGTCATATGCTAATGGAGTTCCTTCTAACCTCATATTCTCTTGTTGTTATTCTCTCTTTGCTTTTAGCATTTGTAACTAAATCTCTAATTAGAGAAGTATGAATCTCATTCCAATTTCTATGTACTTTGAATTCTTTCATTTTCATCTCAATTCAAGTTTACCTTTCCAAATCAAGTGTCTATCTTATGCTTAACTCTCTTCTAGGGTTGGCCACCTAAGAATTGATCTTATGCTCAATTACACAAATTGGATAATGGCTACTTGAGGTAAATCACCATAATTGTTGAGATATCCTAGGAATAGGATTGTGCGATCTTATAAACTCCAAAGTTTAATGCATGTTTGAGTTAGAAACGCCTCAGAAATAAGGATTCTTGATTTTAAAGAGATTAATAGTCGAGGGATTGGTGTTAGCCTGAATTTGTGAATTTGATCTTCAATTAATGAATTTCACTTGATTTTTAATAGTTGAATTAAAATGTAAATAAAGAAGATTGAGAGGATTCTATCCTTAACCACGGTGTACGTTGATTCTTTGAATTCCTAGTGTTTTTGTCCTTAATTCTCATTCTTTCCAGTTTCTAAATCAAAGTTCAGCTTCAGTTCAGATAGCAACTACTTAGTTGAGTTTCCAAATCAGAGTTCAGTTTCAGTTCAGATAGCAACTAATTAGTAGGTTGGTAATTGAAATACAATCCTTTGAGGACAATACTTTTATTCACACTTAATGACTTGGTACACTTGCCAATTCCTTTCACTGACTGACCTGGGCCCAAACAGTATACATATGCATATGGTCTAAAATTGGAATATTTGTATGTAATATCTTTATGACCACACATATATGACTAGCCATTAACACTATTTGCAATTCATTTTATACAATTTGAAAACTGACAGTAAGAGGATGCTTACTTGAGTACCACAATAGAAACTAGGCTTAGCAGAGGGTATGGATGGCTTTTGAACAGGAATTGTCTTTGATGATCTGATAAATCGTTGAGTAGTATTGCACAGGATGAAACTTGGCAAAAAATCACTTTGCATCTCAGACCAAATCTAGCATACACAGTTTTGATCAATGAAATAGCAGGAAACAGATCAAGTCGAATTATTATCAATTACCATTCAAATAGTGGTTTTAATGCGAGCATGTAATAAAAAATAGCATACATCTAATTCTCAATACAAGATGATGTGTGATGTTAATGATCAGAGAACACGGAGAGACATCAAATTGAAGTACATGTTCAGAGTTCAAAAGGAAAAACCTGCGAGGCCAGTCGACTAGAAAATGACACAAGGGAGATGTTCTCTTGCATCTCATTCAACATAAGACTAAAAGAGTCAACAGAAAGATCTCTTGACAGTAGTTCATGGGAATGTTTTAAGACATCCAATAACTTCTCTAATTCCTGATAGAAATAGTCATAGTTTTATTTTAGTTCGATAAATACTGATAAAATAAAAAATTTATAATTACTTGCAAAAGGAGTTAGCAAAGGTAAAATCACTAACCACTATGGCACACAGATCTTGACACTCAAAACGATCAAACAGAAACTCAATATTTTCACGGAAAATTTTATTTATCCTTTCAGATATCAAACTTCGCAAGTTGATCATCCTTCCAAGTAGCTGCACATAAAAGAATCATATGAGAGTAACAGAACTTGTGTGAAAGAAAAATAAAGAGATCTTATACATGAAAGGAGAATACACCATGAAACTACTAGTCCAAAATCATGTTTAGTATCAATCCTAATCATATTATTCATAAGCATTTTCTTAAACAATCTTCATTTGTGTGGTGTAGGTTGTGTCTGGTCTTTGTGATGACATAACCTGCTTAACATGCTTCTAACACCAGAAATTTATCAACTCAGGTTGTCTCTGGTCTTTGTGTCTGCACAAGGTGATTCTTATGGGAGAGTATTATTAGACCTCTTATTAGTAAATATTATTAGGCAGTTATTATTATGATATTAGGTGGTAGTTATTATATCATTAAGCAGCAGTTATTTATTAGATAGTTATTGAATAAATAGAGAAACTGAAGGAAAAGTCCTTGGGAGTTTTTTTTTGGGACTGGATATTGATTAAGAGAGACCGAGCTCTCGAATTCTTTTGGGACTGTATTTTGGTACCAGTTTCGAACATAATCATCACTATAATTTTACATTTTTGCTAAAATAATAAAACAGCTAAGCTTCTTCACTTTGAGCAAGGTCATTGGTCAGGTGTTTTATATTCTAAAAGGACAAGAGCAAAATATGTACATAACTGCATAATACTTGTGTAGTTATGTTTTCCAATCTCCCAATTTTTCCCCACCCTAAACACTTCGAATGAAAGTTGACTTCGCCAAAAAATTGTTGAGTAGGTTAGAGATGTCCAGTTTATACTTCAAAATGCCAAATTAAATCGTGGAAGAGAAACATTATGATAGTGTAGTCCACTAACCTTCACTCTAGTCATTTTTAGCAGCATATTGAGCCTCATAGGCTGCACAGCATACTTTTCTGCATTATCTGAGGCAAAGATAAATGTAGGATCAAGCAGTTCACTGCATGATTTAGGCATCCATCAATAGAAAAGGTTAGTCGGAGGAGTTATCAAAAGAAAAGCTGGATAAGACAGAAAAATGACAGACCTTGCTGCCCAACTTTTGTAATACGTGAAAATGGCTTCACACAATCTAGAAACAAATATGTCAAAACAATGATCCACCTGTAAAAAAGAAGATAAGCAGAACACTTGATCAGTAGAATAAGCACATGATATGAAACAAGTAATTAGAGCTGAAATTATAGTAACACTGAAAATTCATTTTGCCGCTGATATAAACTGAAATCAAAAAGAGAAGGTAGGATAAGTAACTATCAATTAGAAAACCACTCCCTCCCTTCCTAATCTTTGGTCCTTTAAAATTTTACTTTTGTCCCAAACCTTTGGTTCTTTAGGAGATCAAGAAACAATTTATGATTTTTTTACTTTTGTACCCTTAAAAAAATTAAAATCATGCACTAAATGAATTTTTCTTAATATGTGCGCTAAAACGTTAAAGCGCCAAAGATTAGGGACAGAGGGAGTAAATGAAAGCAGAGACATGAAAATATCCTCTTGAAGGGCCCTGCTTCCTTCCATATCAGACATTGTACCGCTTCATGAAATTCACCACATAATGATCTAACACTAAGTTCAGAGTGTGTAATACCTCAGCCTCAATTTCATCGTACAGAAACCGTTGTTTCAGCAACACTAAGGCTTGCTGAGCTGAATCATTATAGATGTCAAATGGTATCAAAACACTCTCAAGAAGACCAGAGTTCGGCGACTCAAGTACACAATCCACCAACATCCAAGGAAGAGAGCATTCGATTGGAAACTGCAGGGAACAAATTAACTAATTATAGACAATCATCATTTGATGGTTTGAATCATTTGCAACTAAAAGTGAAAGGTTGGACTGCAATGCCATATGTTGCAAGTAGCTAGGAAATTCGTAACTGCTTTTATTTGGAAAAGTTTTTGGTCACAATATAGACTTTGAAATTCAAATAATCGTGTGGAAATAAGTAATAAGTATTACCTGAATGACTCGTGAAGACTCTAAATAAAACTCTCTAAACCATAAGAAACCAAGATCTGTCAATGTAGCAACAGTCACTGCAAGCATCACCACCCGTGTTATTGGAAGAAATAGATAAAAGTTGTTGTAATTTTATTCCTCAGCCAAAGGCTGGTTTATATAATGAAAATACAATAAAAATATTTAATTCTCTCCTTAATGGAGAATAAGAGAAAATAAATGACAATAAACGTAAACAATTAAATATGAAAATAAAATATTTTCCAACACGTGTTAATAACATTGAAGGATGCAACAAGGCAATGGTACAAAGCAAAGCATCCTATACTATTTAATTGTTTCATATGGTAGAGAGTAGAAATATTTCAGGATTTATTTCATTCTAATACATTTCTTTTCCTGTCAAGAGAAAATAAAATCTTTTGGGATACTTTCTAAAAGGTGGTATAATGGCATCCCATTTGATAGACTTGTGGAATAATAATCAGTGGATAAATAACATATTGTAACTGCAAAATCACAAGCTCTAAATGAGCCTGGATGCTTTAAAAGAACAGATCTTCATTTTCAAGTACCCATTGCAGGGGTGAAAAAAATTGAGGGAGGCCTATAATTTGTCATAATCATAATTAGAATTATTAGAATGCACCCAAAAGCAGAAATTTATTCATTCATTTCCCTAATTAAGTGAGATGCCAGCTTAATGTTGCAATCCGCTACCCTTTAAACATCCATACGCCCTCTAAACCCAAAGGTTTATAGTCTTGTATTGGATGTTTTAGCATTGGTAAAAGTCCAAGGATTTCATTAACACAAATGATATTATTAATAACCAGGCATCTGTCAGCCCCACTGCATGTATGTTCAATTTCAATTTCAGGGTGCTCGACCAGCAACCCATTTATTAAGGCGGATAAAAATAAAAAAATAAAAAAAGAGGGTTAGAAAACCCCGGCCGGAAGAGCTCACTGTGAGGCCATGTATATTTGTGAAACCAAACATTATTCATTAATAGAGATATCACACAATGTAATGCTTCCAAACTAGCTCACTAATGTAGGAAAGGAACTACTGACAGTGGGTAGCAAGAGAGAGGAAGAAGCTGTCATTAAAGAAATTTAATCTATCAATGGAGACTGTTCCCAAAGGACAAACTTTGGAGTAGAATTGATGCTGTGGTCAATCTAAGACATCATTACCTGAGTAGTCTAAAATATGTAGGAAAAAACCAAGCTTGTAAAAAAATGTCTCCAGCTGCTTTAAATCATTAACTGGGATTTCTGAGCCACTGTTGCCAAAAAGTCCACCGGGTCTCCTAAGGTTACCACCAGAAACCACCTCATATATTAAGAACTGCAAACAGTGCACCTGTATTGAAGACGTTAGTCAAGCAATTATAATGTGGTAATGATCAAACTACAAATCTATACGTATCAACAGAAAGAATTCATAAAGCAGCTCAAGCCTGGAAATATAGAATATTTGCCACCAACTTTTGATAAGTTTCTCCATAAAAAATCATCAGTGAAAGCTCTCTTTAGTTATAATAAATTGGCTACAACGTACGTGAATACACAAGAACAACAAGAAAATTGGTTGAAAAGACCAAAGTTTGGAAAAAGTGAAACAAAAAAAATGTTTTCTTCATAATCAAATGTACATGTCTATCTACATGCATGCCCATAATAAAGAATTTTGGTTCAACATTTCAGGATAAAAGCATGTGTCAAGTCAACCACTTTATGCATATTTATTTTTTATCAAAGCATAGGAAGTTCATGTGCAAGTTCAACAAAACATCTGTGCAAATGGCACAGTTCAATAAAAAGCTTTTAACACTTTGAGCTCTACTAGATATGTAAATATAGAAAGATTATTATTAGTATTGATTACAAATGATTATTAGAATCATAAACGCATAATTGTATTGTGTATATAAATGACTAACAGATCAATGAAAAGGCACGGCCTAAATTCTCTTACAAGCTCTTATAAATTCACTTGTAGGCATACCAATGGCAACAAGTTATACATGTTGTAAAGAGTACGGAAAATAAGGCAGACCTGAGCAGTAGTTGGGGCAACTGCCCTTGGATAAAATATGTTTGCTTTGCTTTCTTCACCTCCATGCTGTGAGGACTGTAGCTCAGATTCTGACTTGTTTGTATTAGCCATCCAATCAGCTGAAAGGGTCCTCATATCAGAAAGAATCCTGAAAATCCATATTTGAGTAATTGATATGTGCAACCTAAAAATATTGAATGAAAGCAGACAGATCTCGGAGAGCTCCTACCAATCAAGTACTTTTGAGAAGGAAGCCTAACAAGGGAAGGAAGTAAAGTAGAAAGGCTTATAACTGTCAGGTAGAGAAGTTTGTAACGTTCACTTATAGTATAAATAAGATAAAACATAAGGAGTTAACCACTTGTGCACTTTCAACAGAAAGCGTTTCCTCTTTCAATCCTGTTTAATTCTACATCCCGTTTTGCCAACTATCATTAATTTATGAAAACATTCTACATTTGATTCTGATTGAGATGAAGTTTGTCTCATGACACAGTCTAAGAGCACAGCTTTGGAACTTCCATCAATTAAGAGTTGTATTTGTCCAAGGAACATATCAAGTTAAAAAGGCTTAATTCATAAACTAGTTAAAAAGGTAATAAACGATCATGTACAATTTGCAAGAAAGTAATTAGACTAACACAATTTCCCAAGATACATGGAACTTAATGTGAAATGAATCTTAGCTACTTGGAAAATGAAGAATTAAATAAATTTTATTTCCAGCACAACTGAAAATTAGAATCCTACCTAGAGAGATCCTTCTTCTTTCTGAAGGTTGTCCGCAACATAGAAGCTAATGTGTTTTGAACAAAATCTTGGACCTCAGCATGTATTGTTTCCCATAAAGCATCGGCAACCAGTGTATCACACCGCTGCATCATAGAACCGACACTCTTTATGTAGCTCACAAGTTCAACCAGTGCTTTCCTTTCCTCTGCACTGTAATTATATCGTACAACCTACAAGCAAAAAACAATACTTATGTCATTATATTATATATTTTATGTTTGTGCATAGTCAAAACAACGATATAGTATTTAATTGAAATATTGAATTATTAAGAGGTTAAGTGATATAATAGATTGGCTAGTTTTGTGATACAGTTAAATTTAACATGAACAGTTAATTGTTCCATACAAACAAAAAATGATGGAAATATTGGTTAATGTGAGAATAGCTAATTTTGATGGGGGCATTAAAGTTTGATATGATTGGAAAAAGTTGCAGGTGTTATCAACACCACTGTAAATACAAATTGCAATGATAGAATTGCTCTTTGACATGAATAGATAATTATTCTATACAAATGAAAATTAAGAGAATATTAGCAGCACCATAGTGCCTGTAGCGGATTAGAACATTGATAATACATCACAGCCAGAGAAAACAAGCAATTATTGGGCTACAAGAATAACGAGAAGAAAAGCCAGGATAATAGAAAATTTTATCATTCCTTACCTTTTCATAGTCAGAGAATGATGGGGATGCATCCTTGCATGGTCGAGAAAATTTCCATGCACATTGTTCCCAAATGCGTGCAGTCCATCTGCTTAATAGCTGAAAACCTTCAACAACCATATCATACATGTTCCCTTTGACCTCTTTGCTCCAATCAACATCGGAACCATCGGTTGACTTCAACAACAACAGCTGCAAAAACAGTGATGGATAACAAACTAGCACAATGGTATGCAACAGTTATCATGAAACAAAACAAATAAGATTTCAGGGATGGCTTTTCTTTTGCAGAGAAGGGGGCAATACCTGATTCATTGCTGAAGCAAAACGAATTGTAAAATCATCATGCTCAGCACGAATGGCTCCAATATGATTGACAATTAGGTAATGTCTCTGATAAGTGTCTCGTGTCAAGGTTACTTTCTAAAGACAAAGAAGGAAGATGCTTCATACATTTATACAAATTTGAAGCTTGAGAAGTAAAAGGATTCTCAATAATTTTTTTATCGGAATTCCATAATTTATTTAATTATAAATTAATCTAATTATTCAAATGCATCATGTGTTGTGAGAACATATATTAAACCTATCAAGTTTTCCATTTCATCTAACAATGAAAAGCACAAAACTTTGCAGGAAGTGAGAAACTATTGCACCAAATTTTCAATGCCGAGACAACCAATATGGTTTTCAACAAATGATTTATTTAATTCTGGATAAAATACAATATAATAAAATTTTCAATGATTAGTGTTATAGTGCCCGTGTATATATACATGACTAGACAGTTAAGTTATTGCTAGAAAAATCTATTAAACAGATTATCAACTGACTGTACAAGTATGAGAGCTTTATCTAGGTTGCTTCTATTAGTCTTCTTCACTTTCTCATTTCTAACACAGTTCATCAACCAGAAGTAGAAAGAACAACATAGCCTGCAATTTAACTTGAATGGACAGAAAGCATCAATTTGTTAACATAAAGTATATGTCACAATCCATCTATTTGTGGGGAAAGTGGTACCGAGTCATATTTGTTCAAGACACCGGTCAAGGAAATGAAATATTGGCTCAATAGTAAAAACAAATATTAGCACAAAATTATCAGTTAAAACAAAAAACAATTTAGAGGATATTCTTGTGATTCACGGGGTGGAAGCTCATGCGGTGCTGGAAGGGCGAGAAGGCGGGCTTGGGAAGAAAATTTTGGGAAGTATGTTGATAATTCCTTCAATATCGCAGCTGGAGAGAGATGCAGATCTGGAAAAGCAGGAATGACTGCTTCGTTCTGTTTAAGATAAACAGATTTTAATGTCCAGTCAACAGAGAAGAATTCATGGCATGAAATGTAACATTCTTCAGGCAATTCAACAACATCGTCATTTTTTCATAACCCAGAAGATATAATGTATCACTAGGCCTTTATATGTGTAAAATATATACATATAAGCAGTACCTTAAATATATTGATCAGTCTGTTGATTTTTACCCTTTTGTACAGAGACTCGCTATCTTTCTCTGAAGATGTCACTAGGACAACAAGAACAGGCAAAACACGCAAAAGAATGTGGCGCTCTGGAAAGAGAAGTGCAAAGTCCAATTCCAAGGACTCTACAACAAATACTATAAGAACTTGAAGAATGTCTTCGACACTAATTCAAGTCAAGGAATTGAATAAGAAATAGAAGAGGAGGATATTAAAATTAAAAGTGGTGATACAAATGCAACTAAGAGTTGAGTTAGGGTGTGTATCATGAACAAAGAAGATTATTTGCACACTCAGTATTCAAAGACAAAAGCCAAAAAGTAAAATATTCAAAATTTGTATAATCTGCTAGATTTCCCCAACATGGTTTATAGATTGAAAACTTGATAAAACAGTTTTTCTTCATTTCCTGGCTCTGAGTGTGGAACCAAATTCGCTTGTTTCTTTTGAGTGACAGTATATAATATATATGCATTAAGGAGAAAGTCATATCCTACGCTCTTCCTCATGATCGTAAGAATAACTTCAACATAAACTAGCACTCACATTTCCTTTTTAATAGAACCTTTTATCTGTCAGATTGAACCAGTTTCCACATTCATCATAAGCACAGATAGTTTCTATCCAAAAATAAATATTAAATAAACAAACAATTACAAGTTAAAATATAAAAGTAGAAATTATGGTAGTCATATGGAAAGGGAAAAAAAATGTGAAGATATCCAGGATACTTATTTACACGGAACATCTCAACATGCAAATTCAACAAAATAGCCCATCTTGTGCTCAAGAAAATCTGCACATGCAATTAAAGAAAGGTCAATAATTTGTCTTTGTCAGGATTTTGTATCAAAATAAAATACAAATGAGGAAAATTTTGGAAAATCAAACAATAAATAGTAAATGTGCAGCTTTCTGTATTTCAAAACACTGGGAAATTTCAACAATTGTGCACCTGTAAATCATCTAACTCCTCCCTCATTGAATCAGTGTCCTGCCACTGACCACTAACTTGTGTGAAAGTCCTGACAAAGTGGAGGAGAGAGCCAAAATGAATGAATGAATGATAAACTTCATTAAGTAGTTATTCACATAAAGAAGTCCTAAACCAAGAAAGGTGGCTGCATAATGATATTCCTAAAAATTATAAGACGTGACGTGCCATTTATCATGGAAACCTTGCTATTCATTTATCATATCAGAAGTTTTACAAGATTTTAAGCAATTTTTATAGTTTTCCCAATTACAAATAACAAAAACTACATTTCTCAAAATAAATAAAACGAAATCATATTTTCATTGTGATCTATTGGACTTATATTAATATGACCTCCTAAATAATTAGATGATTTCAACACTCAAGGTAAAAAGATATTGAAAATCCAGAAAATTCCGATTTCTTGACAGGGAAATTTTATCAGAGTGGAAAATAAAATACAAGATACAAAAGGACAACAAGAAATTTGGTGTTGTTCTGCAAAAACTATTGAAAATTCCCTGAAAAAATATCTTACACTTCTGCAAATTTGTCAAGGATTTTTCCACTGAGATGCCATGAGCAAACCACCGGAGAGATCTAAAAGAAAAACTATGACAATTCTAATATTTTCAACAAAATATTATGGATCTTTGTTTGTTTGGAAAGAGGTGGTCTTCTCACTTTTGAATTGTTTTTATCAATTAACCTGCAAGGTTTTCAAATCAAAGTGCTCTTTTGAGTACTAGGTAGGTAGCCATATAGAGCTTTGAAATGGATTGGAGTTGTGAAACACTTTCCAGCTTTTGAGCTTGGTTTTATGTTATTGTAGAAGAACTGATGAAGCTACAGGACAACAACCCACGGTTTATTTTTCCCTTGTGTCTTTTTTCATATATTCTATTCCTAAACTTGTCATACTGACGGCAAATAACCAAAAACAATGGAGGATCTCCAGCAGCAGAAAGGTATGGTTGCTTAAAAACAAACCCACATCAAATTGATGTCAGGTGAGCTGACCACAGCCACAAGCAGGGTAGAAGGTCAGGGTTGAATCAGCTATAGAGATGATTTATATCTACCTAACCATAAAATATTTGTTAAAGAAGACCAAAACCACACATTTATCCTTTTTATGAGGAGAAAGAAAAATGAAAATAATTTATTTTTCAAATGAATAGAAATGTTGAGAAAAAATATTGAGCTAGTTGTTTCTAAAGTTCTCTTTCTTCCCTTTTCTTTTCATCCAAATGAGAAAATTTAAAATATTCAAAAAAATCATGTCTTCCTTATTTCTTTCTCGCAAATCAAACATGAGGTTAATCAATTATCTTAAAGAACCAAAAAAAAAAAAAAAAAAAAAAAAAAAAACTGAATGAAACAAAACAGTGTAACTTGACTGGAGTATATGGATGCCTATTACTTTTTTATTTTATATCAAATGGCGTAGCTAGGGATTTCTCGTAACCCTCTTGCACACTTGGGTATGCAGTTTTATAAGAAGGTGGTATTACCAACTGTATGCCCGTTTAGTTTCTTCAATGACATTTTTGTTCACTTGATAGTTCCCAATCAAACACTTTCATCTGAAAATTCCATAGTCCAATAGCTGGTTATTCTTATAATATATAATCTAACATTTTCCGTGAGGCAAAAAGCTAGATCCCTAAAGTGCCCAATTTTGATGTAGGTGTTCCAATCAACAAAGCATTAGATCGACTGAATTACATAAGGTACATTCAAGAACAATATTGATAAATGGAGAATATCTCTGCTCATTAATTTACATATCAAATTACAGACTCCTAAAAGCACAGAGAAAAAGGATTCAAAGAAGGAACAGAAGAAAGATATAACTAACAGAAACAAATGGAACCTGAATGTAAAGTTGAAGATCCTCTACATGAGGAAGATAAAGTAACATAGGCAGAAGAGAATCTAAACACATACCTTTTGTACCATGAAAAGTCATTAGGTATGCTTGCCTTGGCATTTTTAAGATGGTCAAGTTGCACCAGAACATCAAACAACTTCAACATAGACCTGGAGTCAAGAACAAAGCTATTCAATAAATATATAAATAAATAACGACGACAAAAAAATAACATTATAACACACCACAGATGAGATATTGTAGGGCCATTAATGCGCCGCTCAGGCCTAGAAAAACGTTGCATGTCGGCAGCTAACTGCATAAAAAATGACGTGAATGAATTTACTTAATATGCTAAGTCGGTCTAGTTAAGTTTCTGGAAGAAAAAAAAAGGATCATACAATATGTAAAGCACAACCCGTACTTTTGAGGAAGCTGATGCTTGCCATCGCTGAATTTCACGCAAACGACTCATTTCCAAATCCAGAACTTGATATGTTTCCAAATATAAGTCAGCTTGACTTTGCTTCATAGAATCAGGAAGCTGTCCCATTGTGGCAAAATGTACAAATTACAGGAGAAACTATAAACATATAGAAATATGAAAATGGATCTCTGATAGGGTCATTTTAATATTATCAAATATATCAACAGACCAAAGTGATTCTGAAAATGAGTGCATACAAGATATCATGTTGCATTAAGCAAAACTATTGACTGCTTATGAAACTTCAACTACTAGAAACTGTCCCAAAAATCTGGGTTTGACATTAGAGCTTTGGGTGTGGACCAAAAGAACCAGTGACATTGTTTGCTTTCTTAACATTTAGAAGAAATGTTCCTTTTCAAAAAACAAAGTATAAATATTTCATGAGAAACTAGCATACAATCATAGTAAGTTCGTATTTAGTGCCAGTAAAATTCAAATATAATATGTACTTCATGCCTAAAGAGTAACCCTTTCCGTTCTAACAAAATCCCCTCATTAGACCAGAAAACAGTGTATTTTATGTCCGTTGACTGGCTATAACTACCCATTGTTAATAAAGATATTACCTGAGGAAGTGCTTTGACACAACTACGATATGTGTAAAGCACTGATGCCATCTCCTTTCCCTCTTGGGTAAGAGAATTCTGCATTTTGCATTAGCAACACCAGTCAAAATTTACAACAGATATCAACAGGACAAATTAAGCAACAAAAAATATCTCAAAAGCAGTGTACCAGCTGATTGAGAGCCTTCGTATCCTCTGACAGAGATAGTCTGTATGCAGCAACATCACAATATTCTGCGAAAATGAGGATGGTAAATGGTAGTAATTACCAATAAATCTATGCATCTTTCAAGTAAATTTACATCACATTCACAAATTAATGCCATATCCAGAGAAGAATAGTGGAATTATGGAATAAGAAGTTACCAATTGGACTCTCTGTTGCACCTCTCTCAGTTGACACCCATACTCCAGGTCCTTGCACCTCTGGTTGTTCATCCTATGTAATTAATGAACAAAAAACAATCACAAGAAAAACTAAGGGTGTGTTTGGATTGATAGATTGGATGGAATGGAGTGATATGAGATGAAATGAAGTGTTATTCCATTGTTTGGGTAAGTTAAAATCGGATGGGGCGTAGCATAATGATGTGGTATGAATGGAATTCAATCACTTACCATCTATGAAGCACGAACACCAGAAATACGATACCGACACTGACACGCCGACACAGATAATAATCTTAAAAAATGAATAAATTAAACTTAACCACAAGTGTCAGTGTCGGTTTCGGACATTGACACAACTTTTTTCAGAGGTATGCTGCATAGCTTACCATCATATTTTTCCCTCCGATTTGGCGAGATGAAATACCTACATTGTTCCGTCCTAAAATATACAAACTGGAATGAAATCTTCATTCTGCCAGCTCCGTTAATTTTATGATATCCAAACATAGTCTAACTCGCATATACCGAAATAAACCCTCAAGTTCTTACAATGCCTTGCATTGGAACATCCAAAATCGCCATAAATGTAATTTAGAAATCAAGTATTCAATCTTAAGTCAATATCACATTACTAAACATTTCTATAATTGGAATTAGCGCGAATTTAGGGTATAATTGACTAAATCTGACCAAAACGTAGCAAAGAAAAAAGAACGATCCATAAGCGCATTTCAAATTTAGTAGCAAAAGAAGTGAGAAAAATGTAGCAGAAAATTGGTACCTCAAGCGAGAATGTGGAGAGAGCTGCAATGGCTTCTTCGACGGGTACTGCCATCACCAATTCTTCTAGCGATGTTGAAGGAAAAGAAAAGCGCAAAGCATAGATGTGAGAAGATCAACTACGATTGCTTCGTTTCTCTCTCCACTTCCACTCTCTTGTTGGAGGAGTCTTCAATTGCAAGACTGAGCAGGTACAACTTCGGTTTGACCATAATACCCTCTTTCTTTGTTGTATTTTCCCTTTTGCTATTACTATCAAGGAAGGTGGTAATTTTAAAATTATTCAATCTAACATGAGTTTAACGGTACTACATTATAAGTGGAAAAAGTATTATACAAATATTTAAGTAAAAAATTTAAATTATCAAATTATATAATTAATTTAAAATTGGATTAAATATTGTTCCGGTATGGGCCTCACCTCGGCAGACCCAATACCGCATGCGGCCCAACAAGCGAACCGGGCACGCCAGGCACGCGCCCCCTTCGAGACGAGCAGGGGCAGGCCGCCGAGCACAAGCTACGTCTCCACACCCTTTTTGTCGTCCACCACGCTGGACGAGCAGAACCACCCGGGCTCCCCTCCGCGGGGAGAATAACGTGCTCGGCGCACGTTCTCCACGTGCTCCCCTCCACGGGGACACGTCACCGACCAGCTGCCCACCTCCGAAAGAGCAGGTCAAACCCACTTTCCGGGGATCTAGGGGCAGTTGAACTAGGGCGAAGACCACGTCCTGGTCTTCACTACGCCACGTAAGCCCTAGCAGTCATTAGGGTTGGGCCTGGTCATCCAGCCCACCTCGAATGACCGTTGGCCCAGCGTTGGGGTCTCTCTATAAATACCCTCTTCTTCAAGAGGGTCAGGTAACTCTTCTTGCCCCTTTTTCTGTACTATTGCTTCCTCTCTGTCCAACTTCTTACTTGGGCGTCGGAGTGTCTTGCAGGTACACCCCCTCCTCTCTCACCCCGGTGAACAGGTAGCAGCCCAACGGAGTGTGGCCAGTCCGTGACCCCCTCCTGATCAGGTCAGATCAAATATATTTTTAATCTTGTGAATATTTCAAAATCTAATTTTAGTTGTTAGAACTTTTTGTTCAAAAAAACATCTATATAATTGATTTCGGACGTTAAATGTTATTAATGGATACTGACGTGACATATTGGGTAAAACTTTTTTGATAATTGAGCATATACGTGACAATGTTAGAATGGCAAAAAATGAAGACATGGATGTCACGTGGCAATTTTTTTCATTTTTTATTTTTTTATATCAATTAAAATTATAGCGGCGGAAAATCTGATGTTAATACGTAGTTAAGATGAACATCATAAATAAATCCATAATTCCTAACTAATCTGTAGCTAATTCCTAACTAATTCCTTGCTAATTTAAACACAGCCTAAAATTTGTTTTTTTTTCATGATTTTTTGCATGAAAATTTATAATCTTATAAGGATCTCTCACAAAAATTGAATTTTTTTTCTTCTTTAAGATGAATTAAATATGAATTTTTTAACGCATATTTTTCATGAAACAGAAACAATGCAAGTGTTGACATAGAATTGAATTTTTAGATAATATTTTAGAGAGATATATCTAATAATACATAAAATAGATCTGAAAGGTATCATGACATTCTAAATAAGTATCAATTTATTTTGATTTTTTTTATCGAAAGAGATATATACGTGTTTCGATCAAAATAAATTTTCACTGGTTTAGAATGCCATAAAAACTTTGAAGATCGTTTTAATGTGTTATTATATAGGTCTCTCCAAAATATTACCTCTAAATTCAATCATATTCTAATGTTTGTGTTGTTTCCATTTCATAAAAAAGCGACGCTTAAAAAATTCATATTTAATTTTTATCATGTCAAATAAATTTCAATATTTGTGGAAGAGATCATTATAATGTGATAAACATTCATGAAAAAAATCATCAAAAAATGAAGTTTAGGTTATAATAATGATTTTCGCCTCTAAAAAAAATACATTTATATGTATTTTGGTCAAAAAGTCAAAATAAATCGAGACTTATTTAGAATGCTATGAAACTTTGCAGATCTATAAAAAATTGGTGTTAAAAAAATTCATATTTAATTCATCTCAAGTAAAAAAAATTATATTTTTGTGTGAGAGATCCTTATAAGGTTATAAACTTTCATGCAAAAAAAATCATTAAAGAAAACAAATTTTAGGTCATAAAAATGAAAATGATGTATTTAAATTAGCTACGGGTTAGTTAGGAATTATATGTTCATTTATGATATTCATCTTAGCGATGGATTAGCGTCAGACTTTCTGTCGTTGTTATTTTAATTAATATATAAAAAATGGAAGAAAGTGTGATGTGGCATTCTCGACATCACACTCAAATTCAATCATATTCTAATGTTCTATATACTAAAATTAGATTTTGAGATATTTATATAAACCTCTAACATACTTAATCCTTTAAAATTTATATTCTAACTTGACAGAATATATGGTTGTCATTGATTGGCAGTGTAAAAATAATATACATTCAGTGCATCATCCTCTTTCTCTTATTATATACTTCTTCCGTCTCAAAATAAGCATCACATTTAGAAAAATTATTTATTTTAAAATATTTATCATTTTAGTTTATGCTATTTTGATTTTTATCTTTCAATTCTACATCTATTTAATATTTTTAATTTATTATTATTTAACTTTACATTAATGCTAATTTGAATACATCAATAATTAATAAGGATAATCGATAAAATCACTATTATCTCTATTTCATTTATTATATTTTCTTAATATGTATAAATCTATTATCTCTATTTTATTTACTATATCTTCTTAATTGTTAGGTATGACAATTATTTTGGGACGGAAGGAATGATTAATAATTATATTATAATAATATTAATCAAAAGTATAAGATAGTACATCTCTTCGATTTTAATAAATAAATTTGCATTCTCATTTTTTAATATGCGGCAATAATTACTATTTTTCAATTGTGTCTTTTAATTATTATTTCCTATATATTAATAAAATTTATTTAGTAAAATTATAATATTTTATGATAATATTATTATATATTCTAATTCGTATATAAAAGCCTTAAATAATAATCATTTTAAATCGGAAGCAATACTTTATTGCATCCTATTCTATCATATTCGATGTGTTTATCTCAAACTCTATCAAATTTTAAATAGTTTTTTTTTAATAATCGTAAGTTAATAATGTACATTTCTCACAAATTTTATAAAAAATAAATTGAAAATGTCTCTTTTGTCACATTTAAAATTAACTTTCGAACCGCACATAATCAATCAACAAGAGTTGTTTATTTGAAATGGAAAACAAAGGGCGAAAATCATGTGTCTAGAGGATATATTTTGGACAACAGGTTAACAGTTAGGATATTAACTTCTAGAACGTAACTTTTTTTACATGATCAATTTCTTAAATTCTCACTCAACCTTATTCATATCTCCTTATATCATCTTAAAATAATTATTTTTTATTTAATTATTATGTTTGGTAACCTAACTAAATTGTATGTCAACATCACAAATATCACAATCATCCTAAATTATAGATAATGTATATTTGTATCTTTTTTTCATTAAATTACAATCTAGTTTTTTCATGCATCGATGAAATAGTATGTGTGATATCATTTGGAACCTTTTAAGTTGCATTTGGTTGTTAATTCTAAGATGTTTGGTGTAACAGCCCAATTTTGATTAACTAATTAATTTATTTATTGGAATTATTTTAATTATGCGATAGTGTGATAATATGTTAAATTACATATTATGCTATTTTATCATTTGGGGAGTTTTGGAAAATTAAGTTGGAAATATTTTGGTTTTGACTAATACGAGTGTTGAGTAGTTTATTTCGGTTTTGATACAAGATTAACATTTTGTTTAGGTTTGATATTGTTTCCACTATTTTTATACAACTTTGATATTGTCTGATGCCATGCCATGTAGAAATTTGTTAAAGAGTTAACAAAGTTAGAAATTCTATTAAAGTTAGTTGTTAGGATGCAATTAAATTGAATTAGAGGTTAGTGAATTATTAGTTGTGAATCCAATGATATGTTGTAATTCTGTCAACACATTAACCTCTTATATCATATAGTGTCCATTTCCAATCATTCAAGATGTGAGTGGAGTTCATGATCTTTGGCAGTTTGTTTAATGAATTATGCTTGTGCTTTGTTAAGTTGCTTGTTAACTTGGTCTAGATGCTAGAGTACAATTCACCATTTATGAAATCACATGATGGAAAAATCACATGATGGAAAAACCCATTCAGTTGATTATTTGGTTTTTTTGAATTACAGGTATTATGGCCACCAACGAGGAAAAATCACATGATGGAAACGAAACAACAAAAGACGTGGAAGGCGAAATTAAAAGAGGAATAACGATTATGAAAAAATCATTCGTGCGAGAGATAAAGGTGTAAAGTATGATATGGATTGGAATGAAAAAGATCAATTAATTGAGCCTAATGGTGCGATACTGACAAGTTACATTGGAGCACTTGTTCGTTGGCAAATTCCAATTACTTGCGATAATTGGAGAATTCCTTCGTTACAACCGGCTAAAGACAAAATTTGGAGCGAGATACAGGTATTATATTTGATATTTTTTAATTATGTAAATAATTACATCTTTAAATTAGTTATACTAACATGATATATGTATGTTTATTTGTTTGTAGAGATCTTTTAATATTGATGATTGCAGGAGAAAATATTGTCTTCAATTGGCCGGAAAATGACTAAGAGGATTTAGAGCGTTTTTAACGAACAAGTTTCTTAAAGATTCTGATGGAAACTTTGTCGATCGGAGTGTCCAAAGAAGTACGCTGATCTGATTTCAGATGAATAATGGGAGACATTTGTTACCAAGTGAAGAACCAAAGAATTTTGTGTAAGTACAACTGCAAGTGCTCTTGATTGGCTGCATTTTGTGGCAAAACCTTATAATGTGCATGTATGTCATACTGATTATTAGGACATACTTAATGATGTGTGTGCATGGTAAGTTAACT